GTGTGTGTGTGTGTGTGTGTGTGTGAGAGGAGGCTGGTGAAGGTCTTCCTGCTGTACAGCTCGATGTATGATTTAGTGTTTCTTTATCTCTTCCCACTTGAGAAAGACAAAGAAAATGTGCCCCAGGACCAAAACCGAGCCCAAAGCCATTGACCTCTTTATGATGGGGGCTTAAGGGACCCTACAGGAAAAGGCATATATCTCTGTGTATATTGAGAGGTACAGTCTGTCACGTAGGTTTCAGAAGCCGTTTGTGTTTAGCTCCGTGTCCTCAGGCCGGTGTTATTTGGAGGGGAAGCGTCTGATTGGACAAACTTCCTCCGGACCGTTTTCTCCTCGCCGTGTAACATTGACCTGAGATACTCGGGTTAAAGGACGTTTCTTTAGGCTGAATGCATCAGTTTACAGGAGCTCAGATGCTGCTGATGTTTAGATTTTTCTTTTAGCCTTTTTACGTTTCTTTAATTTGGTTCAGTTTGTGAATGTTAGTGCTTTTACTTTTTTATCTTGATATGAAGTTCAGGTTGTTTGTAGGGAACTGCGTCATGCTTTTCCATGTTTTCTGGTCTTTACTATGATGAATTTAATTTTTTTGTTAAATTTTTTTTTTGTGTTTAGTATATATTTGCATAATGAACTTGTTTTGTTCAGTTATCCTTAAGCCAGTGAAAACAACTGATCCCCACGAGTGTTCAGGTCTGTCATCCTGCTGGATGACCCAACTCAAAACCCAAACTAAAATAAAAAATAACCCAAAAGAAAAGCCAAAATAAATGAAAAATAAAACCCCAAATAAAATAAAAGATAAAACCCCAAATAAAATAAAAAACAAACCCCCATATAAAATAAAAAATAAAACCCAGATAATTCCCTTATTTTAGATTTGATGGTACCATGTGAACCTGAAATGAGTAATGACTTCTATGATGGTAAAATAAGGCCTCTTTCATTTTAAATCAGGTTTTAGTTATTGTTGGTGAATATTAACACCCATAGTATTAGTATTGTTCCAGCATCTAAACCTCTCCTTCAAACTCAAATTATTCAGCAAAAGAAAGACGAGGGAAAAGTCCCGAAGCTGGAAACGGATTCTTTTCTTTCCTCTCTCATCATGGGAGTCATCTCCCTGCAGATTAGTCCGATGACCTCTGTGAGAGGTCCAGCCGTTAAATCATACTCGTAAACTTTTTCTTGCTCAGGCAGCTGCCACATGCTCAGAATCAGTGATCCTTTTCCATCACATCTGACAAACAATACGAGGTGTGGTAAAAGCTGAGGCTTGCGTAACTCCCTTAATTTAGCAGCTATGCCTCCTCAAACTGAATCAGCCTTTTTTCACATTGACCTGTTGTTAAACATGAGAATTAAAACTATGTTATGTAACAAAATAAAATAATTATGACACTTCTAAGCTGCTGCTTTCAAAGGCCCCTGTTTGACCAGATCGCAGCTCAAAGAACATTTGTCTGAATAGTTGAATAGGAATTTTTAAATGGTGTTTATTTAATTTATTTTTTCTATACATTTCTTGGAAGCTAGCCCATTTTGAGTTTGCAGTCTTACAAGGTCCTTTGGCTTTAACTTTTAACTTTATTGAACCTTATAGTGCGTATTTTACGCACTGTAAGGCATCTAAAAGCCTTAAATTTTCTCAAAAACCGAAAGTGTGCCTTATATATAATATATATATATATATGTATATATATATGTATATGAGAGAGAAGGCTGTAAAAAAAAATATATATATATATATATATATTTATTAGGATTGAGTCGTAACAGGTCTCATAACTACGCCATTTCTCCCGTAGAAGAAGAAGTAGAGGTAGAAGAAGTAGCGCTTGGCGCATGCGCGGTAAAGAGGCGCCACCTTCTGGGGATCCGCAGTAGTCCCAATTTTAAAAGTGGACGCAGTGAGAGAAGGCTGTAAAAAAATGCGGACATTTAAGGTAAACGTTGAATCTGATCCTAACTGCGACAACAGGCAGTTCAAAAATGTCTATACCGGCGTTTTTTGTGTGTTTTTTTTACGAGAAAAGCTGGTCAGCTTTATGCTAGCTGCTATTTATTGTAATGCGCTAACTTCTGATTTACCGTAAAATATCAGACTGTTTCTGTTATTTACTGAATGGAGGACATTACCTCAGTAACGATAATAAAAAAGCTGTTTATTCATTTTGGGAGTGAACGGAGTCGTCAGAACGCTGGTTTGTGTTTAATTAATAAAGTTTGACTGATTATCTGACTGTTTAGTTGACGCATCTTTTGACGTAGGCCGTTAATTGAAGGTGCACCTTATAGTGCAGAAAATACGGTACCTGTTCCACACCTGTCTTTAATCCTGTGTGATGTAATATATGATGCTCTGACCCTTAATTTAAGGGTCTCTGGTTCTGGAGCATAAATCCCCCCAATGTTGATGGCATTGAAAGCTATCCATGGCATAATCCATACATTTAGATGTGTTCACACCCAGCTGAAACCCCGATTTCTCCAGATATTATGTTCATTGGGCTGCTTACTGGGTGGAGATGCAGGGAGGGCTCTTCAACTTCTGCCCTCCTGAGATGCTACTTTGTAAATTCCCAACAAAGAGTTGTCTCAGTGTCCTGTCACTCACTGTCCTGTGCTTGAGACGAAAGCTGGTGTGAACATTTAAATGTCTTTGTACCCATAATGTTTGAGCATCACATCTTCTGAATGGCTGAGTGAAATCAATGTGTTTTTCTGCCAGTTTTCCATAAATGAAACAGTCTAAAAAAAAACTGTACTGGCTTTTAGTTTTGAGAAACATGAAGCTGACCTCATTTTTAAAAAGTCAGACGTGTTGAAAGACTTTTGTTTTCAGCTGCTTAGACTTCAACAGCTCTTTAGGATTTGGCGGGAGTTGGTTTCCTACTTTCCGCACTAAGTAGGTTTATAAGTGAAAAGCAAACATCTCTGTCTGCCTGAGCTCAGAGTGGAGCACTTTAGGCTTTATCTGCCACCTCTTTCTCTTCCCCTCAGTCTGTGCCGTCGGTTCTCAGGGGCCATTTTTTGTTTGGCTCACAGGGGGAAGCAGGTCCAGTCTGGAGAAAGCCCTGTTACTTAGGGTAGGGACAGCAAGGACGACTGGAGGCTGAGAGAGAACAGGATGTTTTTCTTTGTGTCTGTGTCTCTTCTGTGGGTCTGTTGGTGTGTGCGTTGTCCACTCTGAACTCCAGCCAATTGGCAATCGGACGGATTGGAAGTAACAGCATCCTGGAGGGGAAACTGTCCGACACGTAGCCAGACAAAGACAGTCCACCCACCTACACAAACCCATCAACGCACACCTTTTTTTTTTTGCCCCAACACCTTTGGTGGCACATAAAACGGTTCTCACTCTGAAATCATTTCAGTGTTTGACTTTTGTGATATAAATGTCATAGAAATTAAGAAATGCTTTTGTTGTATTTTAAAAAAAATGAAGAGCACAACAAATTAGACATCCAGTCCAGTAGAAAAACTACAAACCAGGTGACAAAACAAAGCTTTTAGGACTGTTGCAGAACTCTTTTTGGGGAAAATTCTCCTTCCTTAATTTGTTTCTGTATGCTGAGAGCACAGCTTTAATGTGGTGGATGTCTTTTTGTCGACTTATTTAACCAAAACAGCCATTAATGTCATAATTTAAATCCCTGAAATGGGTTTTGAATCCACAAAAAACTGCTTTAAAACTGTCACAACCCTCATAATTTCTATAATTATTCTATAATTGTTAGTTCTCCTCTTTTGAAGGAATGGTTAAAGCCTGATTCAAATTTCTCTTTTTGGCTGAGAACTAGAGGATTAAAGCAGAACAGAGGTTAGTTTTCCCTAAACTTCAGCAGAGTTTAAATCTCAGAGGTGATAAACGGCGATAAAACACAGGAATGAAGAGGAAGTTTCCACCTCTGACAGACTCTTTCTTTCCTCCCCCCCTCAGGCGAGGCTCTAACGTGTCTCTGGTGTTGGACATGTCCGCCCTGGGCTCGGTGGAGCCCCTCAACGTTGCCGTGGTGACCCCCAGAGAGACGGCGGCCCGGGAGTACCTGCTGTCCGCCGGGCGCCCGCTGACCAGGCAGCAGCTCCGTGACATCATCAACAACACACACAAGCTGCACGCCGAGTTCGCTGTAAGTCCAGAGGGATTATTCCCAAACTACAGAAGAACCTCTACAGAGTTTAACTGGTTCCAGGACCTATTTTGTATGTTAGAATAATCGTATGTTGCTTCAAATCTTCCATTAGAATACACTGTAATTCCTAGAATTGGTTCCAAAAACCTACGATAACTCCTTAATAAATACTGCAGATAATTACACATAGCAAGAAAACAAATAATTCATAGAACAGAGATGGGAAAAGAAATAAATGATAAAGAAATAATCAATAAAAAGGTTTTTTATTGGCAGGTAGAGACTGAGATACAGGGCGAACCCCAACTTTAACTTTCCCTACGGGAACTTTAAACTAGCTTAGATTATTTTTATATCAATTTTATATATATTTTTCTATGACTTCGACGTCATGTTGGAAATCTAATTTGGGTGTCGAGTCGAATATTTGATCAAATTTCACTTCAAAAGTTCGAAAATTTGTATGTTTAGGCATCCTAAGTAGAGTCCACAGGCCTCAGGTCCACATTTAGACAGAGACTGGCCTGAAACTGGCTCATCAAACCCAGCATCAGATCTACAGAATAGAAGAATAAGACTTTGTGTGTGTGAATAATGTCTAAACTCTAGATTATACCCTTAAAGATTGAACTTAAATCCTTTTCCTGTTGTGCACTGGACACATGGCCTGTGTTATTTTTCCAATTTAAAGCTTCCTCTGTTCTCTTCTCAGGAAATTCCTATGAATTTCATCGATCCCAAGGAGCTAGATGTTCCAAACCATGGCCCCAAGAACAGATACAAGACCATCCTGCCCAGTGAGTGTCGGCTGTTGCTTAGGAGCAGCAACACTTCCAAAACACTTCCAGCCCTCATTTCCTGTTGAACCAGGAAGTTGTTTTATTATGTTGGGGGGGGCTTAGTGTCAAAGGCCAACAACCCCAAGGACAGTGAATATCGCACCTCCCTCTTCCCCAGCAGCACACTTGAACAATGCTCCTTCCTCAGAGCACACCGTGTTCGCACACTCAGCCAGTGTTTTGCCTCATTAGCAAATTACATAACGCACACCCACACACACTCACACACACAATGACAGTTTTGGAGTGTGCACTTGTGTTTTGGATGGAGGCGGGGTTATCAGTACAGCACTTTTCCTTCCTTCCGGCCAATCAAGAGAAAGGAATGCTCATCTAGAAACGCTGTCAATCAAACTCCAGTTTCCGCTCTCTTTGTGAAGCGTTCATCTCTGGGCTGAAGTCAGTCCCAGCTGGAATGCGACAAACTGTAAAGTCCAAAAGGGGCTTAAAGCTCTCCACCTCTCATTCTCATCTAAAACAAACAACTGCACAAAAACCCTCAAACCAAAAAATGCCTCGTGGGTTCTATCTCATCCTCAGAGCTCCTCTCCCTAATAGATCCAAACATTCATTCTTCCCAGGAGCTCAGGACAGTTAGAAATGAAAAATGTCTTAAATCCAATGAGAAGCAGGAAGTGGAAACCCACAAAATGGGAGTTTAAGATTAGATAATATAGATATTAACATAATACAAGTTTAAGCTCCGACTTATTTCCCCATTTCTGTTTCTCATCTTTTCCCATTTCTGTGTCCCAGACCCCCATTCCAGAGTAATCCTGAAGTCAAAGAGCAGCAATGATCCGCTTGGCTCCTACATCAATGCCAACTACATCCGGGTGAGTAGTGGCAGCCTTCCAGGATTACACGCCGTGACCCCAGTCCACGCAGAGTCCAGGGACTTCAAATGTTTTGTTCAAAACAAAACATTGTTTTAGGGTTATTTCGGGTTAGGTTTATGCATTTAACAGATGCTTTTATCCAGAGCGACTCACAAAGTAGGCACAATTTTACAGTTAACATCTATATGACAATAAGTTCTTTAGAGGAAAATCCCCAGGCAGAATCAGTGGCAAAGAGAAAGAGAGGGAAGCAGAGAAAGGGTAGTAGTGGGGTAGGGATGTCCCGATCCCGGCCTATCAGAGCATGTATTAAGGTTTAAAGTTATTTATCTACTTACTTACAGACTCACGTTGAACAGGGATTTACTCTGATAACAACTTAATGGTTAGGACACAGACCTGTGGGTTACAGATGCTAATACTAAAGCTCGTGTGGGATCGGATTTTTAAAAAAAACTGGATCTGGAATCTGGATCTGCATTTTCTCCTGTGTGCCGATATGCAGTTTTTTGCCCATCCAGGCATCAGTATGGCTGAAGTATCTACTTCCTTTTGGAAAAACATCTGTAAAAGTTTCTAATATTGATGCTTTGTTTTACAACTTGGGTCTGGTAAACAACTCCCGTCCGAAAGGATTTTATAATATTGTGTGATATTGTGTGTAAAGTCCCCAGAGCCCTGCTACCAATTCAAACTTGGAGTCATGTGACATTTTTCTGATTGTTGTATTTGAGAGTTGCATAATTAAAAGCTGTCAACAAGAGTATTGTGACAGCTGCTCTTTGTTTTCAGTCAGGATATCAACACAAAGCTTTGTGGATTTTGTTGAATGTCTTTGTTCGGAGACACTGACTTTCAGGGGCTTGAATCCAGTTAATTTGGAAAATATTTGTGTAGCGGCATGTTTTCTAAACTTATTGTCATTCTCACTGCTCTGGAATGTCGGCAGGCTTTTCTTTGTTCCTCCGGTTTCCTCACCGACTCACAGTGAAAGTGTGCAGGTCGCTCTCAGACTCTCAGACTCTCAGACAATAGGCCCACTTCCTGCCAGGAAACGACTCCGAAACAGTTTAAACTGCCCCACCGCATCGGGGATCGAGCCTCTGTTCAAACTCTGAACAGTGTTGCTTATTTCGAGCAGCCCCTATCTGCAGGCTTTAGGAGCCTCGGCTGGATATCCAACTCCTCCCACATCCAAGTCGGCCATTTTGATTAGGTCATGTGACTAGCAGCTTTCTCAGGTGGAAACTAAACTTTATTGTCTATACGAAAATGGAAGACAAACGATGTCCTAACCCTAGCCCTGACCCTAAACTTAACCCTGACCCTAACCCTAAACATAACCCTACCTCTAACCCTGAACCTAACCCTAACCCTTAACCTAACCCATAACCCTAAACTTGACCCTGACCCTACAACCTTCATAATCGTGAGAAATAAATATTTTTTGGTTAAACTTGTTTGGACTTATTGTACAAACCTATTTAA